ATACATGGTTTGACAGGAATGATTCTACCAAGTCAAACAATTGACCTGTAATTCCATAACCCTGAACCTTGCAAAGAGGGGCAGGATGCCAAATCCTATCAAACGCTTTGGAAATATCTAGAGCCACAGCACGAGCTTCTCCATTATTATGAAGAGCTTGGTAAACAATTTCAGTGATGGCCGTAAGCACATCAGCTGTAGAATGGGCAAAGCAGAAACAATATTGCTTGTCAGAGAGCAGATCATGGGATGTAAGGTGCTTAACCACTTCGGTGTTGATTAAAGCTTCGAAGACTTTGCCGAAGAGGGGTAGGAGACTGATTGGATGGTAATTAGAAGGGTCAGATGGGTCACCAGAGTTCTTAAAGACAGGAACAATGGATGAGGACTTCCAACAGCCTGGAAAACAAGATTCATTGAGGCAGTAGTTATATAATTTGGAGAGGGCAGGGGCTATTTCAGGCGCACATTTCTTCAGGACAATGGCTGGTATCCCATCTCCACCACTAGCCTTGTGCGGGTCTAAATTAGAGGTAATGCCCAATACTGATGACGGGGTTATGTGCAGCTTGCTCAATGGAGCCTCTGTTCTAAGAGGGAAATCTGGTGTGAGTACACCAGAAGAGTCGAGTGTTGAATTGAATGAGAATTTCTGAGCAAAGCATTCAGCCTTGTCGGAACCTCGAATTGGTTGAACAAAGGAGGTATAGAGGGTTTGCTATTGTTAAGTATGCTCTTGCAGAGACGCCAATAATCCTTGGAGCCAAATTTGTGAGATGCAATTTGTTCATGTTGCTACGATATAGGTGGAAGAAGTGGTTCCTATGGGCATTAGCAGCTGAGCAAGCAGCCGAGAACCAAGGGGAGGAGCGTGATTTGACCTTATATTTCCTTGAGGGGGTGAAAGCCTTGATTCCAAATTTAACCCAGGAGGAGACCTCAGAAGTACATTCTTGAACTGGGAGCATAAAGACAACATCCCAGAGGACATTGCGAAGGAAATCACAGAATGAGTCCTAGTCTGCTCGTTGATAGCAGAATGAGGTTCTAGTGGTAGGAGGTTCATTGCAGTGGGTGGAGTTGAAGGAGATGTTGATAGACACTACAGCATGGTCAGAATCACCAAGAGGCAGAGCTGCATGGTGCTACAGGACTCAGGGATGGAGGTAAAACATAGATCGAGAAAAGAAGCTTTACTGTCCCAGTTGTAGGGAAAATGTGTGGGAAAGTCAACTATATGCATGAGGGATTGAGAAATTGAAAAATTAAGAGTTTGAATGCCTGCAAGTTCAGTAGTAGCATTTTTAAGCCACTTAAGTTGTGGTTGTAAAAATGAGAAGGCCTGAAGTAAAAGAGGCAGATGGTTATCGACTGTGAGGTGGGCAGAGAGTAGTTGGCACAGCAACATAATGTGGCCTCAGGGTTGCCCACCGGAGGTGAATGCAGGGACACTTATCCATGCGCGACATGGCACTACAAACGCCTCGGTATTATGCAACTGTTGATCAGAGCAGCCGCTCAAGACGCTGCACAAGAGTTAGGGCTCCTAACTACCAGTCGGAAACAGCAACCAGAGAACTGTCAACCGTGTACCCTCAGAATTAAGAGATGTTGCCACAGACTGCACACATCATGGGAGAAACAGAGCTGCACTAATACAGAGGCCGGAGAGAGAGAAACAGTACCGGGAACCCCTTCCTAGACAAGAAACAAGGTGTGAGCCTTTACTCTTGTCCAAGAGAAGGGGGAGGATTATTGACTGGACAGTAGGAAAGCTTACCTACTCCTATTACATATAACACAAACGACAACAACAACAATAAAAAAAAGGAGAGAAAAAAAAAAAAAGCAGCATCTGACAAGGAGTCCAAGCCGACCCCAAAGACGTATTTACCGAGGGGTAGTACTGGGATGTTATTTGTATTTTTCCCTTCCATTACATTAAGTTTCAACTTGTATAAGTCCCATTGTCCTAACCAAAAAACAAAATTGATTATACAACATTGTGGATATGCCTGTCATTGTGTTCATTTCCCTGGCACTGGAAGCTAGTAGTTTGCATACGTAACTGACCTCATGCATTTTAAGGGTTGAAAGGTCGGTGAATTCTAGATAAAAACTAGTTGTGAACTTTTGTAAATGCACATGAAATGCACTCTATTGATTCAAAATTAACATCATCAATGGAGGTAACTTAATTTATATTTGTAAATTGTTTTTTTAAAAATTACTATTAAGTATTTTAAAAACATTGCTGTTATATTTGTAATTCTTTCAAAAATTACAATTTAGGTATTTTAAAACCTTGCTGTTATAGACATCTTAAAACATTGTTGCTATACTCATAATTAATTTTGTTTAGTGTTGGTTGTAATTTTTTAATATAAAATAACTAGCATAAACACGTGCACTCTCAACTATAAAAGTGAATGTCCTAACCATTATAAAACAGCAATTATACAAAATTTAATAAACTGTGCAAAAGTTAACTCTTCCATGGGTAACATTTTCTATACCAAATTATAAAAAAAACATTAAACAAACTCTTATTAATACCAACTTTCCTAATGACATTGTTGATGATCAAATTAAACAAGCTATTAGAAATATTAATATAAATGAAAAAGAACATAATACTGCAATCAGATACTCTAACTACAAACAAGAAGAAAAAATCCTAAAAAAAGTACTAATACATCCCCACTGATCCCATTAAAAAAAATAAAATTAAATATATACTATACTATATTTAATACAATCAACTTAATCATCTGCAATAACTCTTTTCCATTAACTAATATCTTGCAAAAGACCAACATTGTATATCAATTTAAATGTCCTTTGAGACATTGTATACCTGACAAAAAAGTAAATATATGTTGGTTTCATGACAACAACATTATCAAGGAGACTTACATTACATATAACAGATGCAAGTTCTATTACACAACATTTGAAGGAACATTCCTGTCTACATTCATGATTTAGAGAAATATTAATTGGCAATACAAGTATACTCTCCCATGAAAATGAAAAAAAACAAAACTTAAAATTTTTGAAGCCGTCTATATAAAAAAATTACAACCAACACTAAATAAAATTATGAGTATAGCAACAATGTTGTAAAATGTCTAGAACAGCAGGGTTTTAAAATACCTAAACATATTGGAGTCACCACAGATCAACTCCTCTTAGATCAAATGTTTCGGATGGACATTAAATCTGATTTTAGACATTTGGTATTTCCTGGCATGAATCCTAAAAGAATAATGAAAGCTTCACTGGGCCACCTGTGCTGTTAGACACAAATTCTCCCTTTTGCTATAAATGTTTCTTTGTTTTATGTTCCAGGAGCGTTGTTCCTTGATGGAGGTGTAGACTTGGTGGATAAGATTTTTGCCAAGACTTTATTTGATGATTTAGATTTGGTGTACACATGGAAGCAACTTCCCCTTCACCCTCTGCAGGAAGATGAACCTGAGGGTGACAGGCATTGGGTTGAATCATCTCCAGCTCTTCAGGTGAAAAATATATTTCCATTTCCACTTTTATATTTTAATGTATCATTAAATTAGGACTAAACTCTTCATTTGTTTTGCTTCTTTTACATCTTTCACTATTTAACTTCATCAGAAATTTTTGAAGGCAAATAATGCGGGGTTAGATTTCACTTTTTAAATTCAGTGTTGTTTTGTTTTTATTGTACATGCAGACAGCGTATATATATCTTATGACATTTTTTTTTATGTAGGTAACATTTTTTAAATTTTATATACTGTTTTCATTGGTTGTATAAACATCACATATATATCTGTGGTGAGTATGCATCAGTAATAATGCAGAAGAGGCCCTGAATCATGTACGGTCATGTCTGTCAAAACTAGTTACATCCAGGTTTTCCCTGTTGGCAGCAGGACAGCTTGGCATGTCTAGATATAGGCCTCTCTGCAATTGTCATTGTCAGCTGTCTCATATCAATAAAAGCAATGGGAAAACCAGCAGTGGGTAGTTGACAAGACTTGGTGTCTTGTGCAGTTGTTCCCTTGGGAATTTTGTACTTGGGAGAGCAATTGGTTAGGTGTTTTCCCCAAGCTCACCATACCCTTGTCATATTTTACTACAATAACTTATGGTGATTGTGTTTATGTATCACTTTTATTCTATGTCCTCTTTTTATTGGTTGTGTAGATATCACATGTACATCTTAAAGCGTTTGTTTTTTTTTATTCTTGAAATGTTAATGTTCTGTGTAACTAGAATTGACTGTATTAAGATGCATAGATCCTGCAATCTGTGTTGGGGTACCTGGAGTGATGGGTTTGTCTAAGGCAAGATTTAGATTGATGAAGCCCATCCCTCTGCAAAGTGACTGGATAAATTACTTATGTTCATTATTATATTTTATTTATTTAGCTATATTTGTGACCTATTTCTTTGTCTATGTAACATGTCCTGAAGAGACACGGGCAATAATGGCCCTACAAAACTTCCTGTTCCTTGCCACGTAGCAGTTTTTCTTGTCTTGTTAAGCTTATCCCCTGCTCCACCATTCATTCACACATGCTTCTCAGGTAGGTAGCTTGCCGACTTCCCCTATCTCGCTTGCTCTGACCTGTGAAGGTTAAGTTTTCCAAACCCTCCTTCCTCATTATGTAGCCAAGAAATCTCAGCTGTTTTCTCGGATTCTGAGTACAAGTGTTCTTTTTGTTGCCATTTTATTCATTGCTTACTCACTCCATCCATGGAATTCTCAGTATCTTTCTGTGGAACCATATTTCTGTTGGCTCCAGTTTTCTCTTCATCTGTGAGGAGATTGTCTAGCATTTATTACCATATAAGAGGATTGATATCATTTTTATATATATATATATATATAAAACAGAGGATGTCTGCAGCTGTCTCTCTGTGTTATACCTTTTTACTTGAGATCCATCCAACCGATTTTGACCAAACTTAGCACATACATTGTACTATGTAAGTGATAGGTTCTTAGCATAAAAAAGAGGTAATTTTAAAAAAATCAATAATCGATAAAGCCAAAAATTGATAAATTTAACTTTTTTCCTTTGATTTCATTCAAACTTGGTCTGTAGGTTACTTACATCATGACAAGCTCAACAATACCACATTTTTATTTCTATGCCATTGCATTAGTAATAAAACCACGAAAAACAAAAAATTGATTTCAACACAAATTTTAAACGAAAAACTCCCTCAATTTTCAAGCAAACTTCACTCAATTGTAGCCAACAATAAGTTGATTGTTTAACAGGCATTTAACTTGATAATTGAGTCCACCCATATAGTAAAAACCTGTGTAAATAGCGAAAAATGGCGATTTTTACTGGTTTCTTTATTTTTCGTTGAAGTTTTAACCAATTTTCATTTTTCATTGAAGTTTTAACAATTACTTTATAAATGTATCCTCTTTTACATCCCTGGTAGCACACTGACAAATTGAATTTCAAAAACTCCAAAATAATTGTGGTCTGAAGTGGGTCTTCAATGTTGTCTGTTTTACCCCTTCATGTCCTCGGCTAACTTTGATTAAATAAATACAGACTACTTCTATTAAATCAGTAACTGCATTAATTAAAAATGTTTTTTTAATGAATGTACTTTAAAGTAATTGAAGAAGATAGACTCTGTTACATCTAAACATGATGCTATTTTTGCTCCATTCTAATTGAACGCTTTTTCTGATCGATCAGCTGGGTATGGCTGCTAGTATAGCAATACAGTACTCTTTTTTTGTAATAAAATTTTTCTGTTTTTTCAGCAATTTGCTCAGCTTTTGGAATGCATCTTTTTCTAGTCCTATGTGTGTTCGGATTTCGCTGTTGTATTTTCCACCCTCTGTTAAAAGACTTCCCAGATATTTTACCTTCTGTGTTTGCTTGATGTTAACGTCTCCAATTCGTAGTTCATATCTTGGGTTTGTTCTCTTGTTGCATTGTTGTTCATATTTTTATCTGTAAGACTTATTTTAATCGTTTTAGGATACTGAGTGAAATAATTGTCAGAGTTGTTAACTTCTGCAGGCAAAGATAATCTAAAAGAAACCCCCAAAAAAGGCAAAGTGCACGTGTTAGCCATATTGGAATAAATAGACTCTGAATTCTCCTCTGTTTAATATTTATTTTCAGTCTCTGTTCAACGTAGGGACATGTCAATAAACTGTTAACTTGCTGGGTCTGTCTTCATTTACCACAAATTCTTTAGAACCTGAACAATATTCTTTGTCACTGGGTGGTCTCTTTAAAACTTTAAATGCAGTTTCATGTAAATCTGGGATTCCTAAAGTCGTCAGTGCCAAGAGAAAGAGGTGTGCTAGTTAATAACAGGGTGACATTTTATTTTTTTGTTTTAAATTTAAAATTTTTTTTAAGATAATCTGTATGATGTAATCTAAGTCACTTATACTTAAGGAACAACCTGCTTTGCTAAGATAAAAATTAACATAAAAATTATACTGAATATGTAAATCTGGAGTTCTCAACCAAGGTCCATATGCACCCCAGGGTGGTCCATGTAACATTACTGTGAGTCTCTACAAAAAAAAATACCAAATTGGGGGTCCACAGTAATATTTTAGTGGTCTATACAGCAATTTCACTTTAGAATGGTTGTTACAACAGAGAATTGGAATTTCTATAGTAATCTATGCCATATTAAAATACTAAAAATAGAAAATCAACTCTAAAACTAGCAGATAAAGTGATGCAAGCATCCCTTTTACTTTACTGGATGTTTTTATTGTAAAAACTGAATAAAAACTGAGAAGGGTTTATAAAGAAGGATTTCATATATATATATATATATATATATATATATATATATATAGTTAAATTCCCAGATCAATTCTGTGGACAAGACAGATTGGTATAAATATATATATATAAAAAGGAAAAGATTATAATTTATTATAGAAATTAATTTTATATTATTAATAAATAATATTAATTTTAAATATTAATAAAATATTAATATAAATTAATTAACACAAAAATAAATAAAATATTAATAATAAATTAATTTAATATATAAAGGAAGGATTAACAATACTAACCTCTTCAGCATCAGCCACAGGGATCACATTGAATAAATAAAAAAGATGTCCTTTTCACACTTTGTACAGACAAAGTTTGATGTTAATTTGTCTCTCAGGTTTTGGGCTTTTCTTTGACATGACATTTTGGGCAAATGTCTCTTTGAACTTGAAGAGACCTCTAGTATAATCTTTAGCAGTCTGCATCTTCTCATATGTCTGGGTTAATGCCTAGGGTCCCCGGGTTTCTTTTGTCAACATCTTTGTAGTGTAGTTGAAGTTTGCTTATGAGGTACTTTCCCTGAGTTTGGATAAGATGATAAACTACATCTGACAGCAAGGCCTCTGATCAGAAGGTTTTGATGAGTATGGAACTACCTCTTAATTGCTGGTGTTCCCAGGTCCACCCTGACCCAGGTAGCAGCACCTGTTAGGGTCCTACCTCTGGGAAAATATTTAACACCCAAACTGGGGTCAAAAAACTATGAAAATGTAAAAATAGGTTTTAATACCAGCAATACATTTTAGGAAAAAAAAATTACCAGCAATACATTATGACCAGCAGTACACTTTTGAAAAAGAAAAATATTACCAGTAATACATTTTGTGAAGAAATTACCAGCAATGCATTTTTGAAAGAAAAAAAATTACCAGCCATAAAAATATTGTCAGCATTAAATAACTCATTGTGGTTGATATCCTGTAAAACAAAATAAACCAAACCCTGAGCTGGCTCTCTGTACAGGAGGTCCCTGTGTATTTGACAGTTGTCTATTCACACAGGGTGGCTGAGTTAGTACAAGTATCTTTCTTTAAAAGGTTGCATATGTTGGAAATCCAATCCATCTTGAGGATAGTGTTGTTGGGATCTTCGTTTTGCTAATAAATGCTCGGGATGCATGTAATTGATTACGATTTTAATTGTTACATTCAAGTAAGCAAGTGTATGAACTTTCTTTGCTTTTCCTATATTTGCATATTTAAATACTTTCCCAGCTGGTACCTGATTTTGGTATTTTTGTTTTTCTCTTTGCACAGAAATTAGTAAAATTTGAAGATGATACTGGAATATCCTTCAGCCATATCCGTCTATTAGCCAGGGCATTTACCCTCCGAAATGTTGGCTATAACAACTTGACGCTGTAAGTATCGTTATTATTACTGTCTACTTTAGGTTTGTTTTTTGTAAACATCTTACTATAATGAAGCTTGTGTGGCTAATAGTTGAAAAAAATTTTAAGTTGCAATCACATATTTAACAGAGTAAAAAGTGATAAACAGGCTATATAGTGGCTGTTCACTAAATTACAATAATGACCATAGTCCTGGGTATGACGGTAAACTATATCTGGCAGCAAGGCCTTTGATCGGAAGATTGGAGGTTTTGAGGAATGTGGAACCACTGCTTAATTGCTGCTGTTCTCAGGTCCACCCTGACCTGGGGTGGTAGTACCTGTTAGGGTCCCAGCTATGGGCAAATAGTGAACCCCCTAAATGAAAACAAAACACTATGAATGTATAAAAATACATTTTTATAATAAAAATACCAGCTATAGATATTTATAGTAAAAATACCAGCAATACATTTTCTCTGTAGTTGAAGGCTTGCAGTTGTGTTGAAAATATTTAGATTTCGGCATTAAATAACCCATTTTTCATAACTGATACTATGTACCTTAGCATACCCCGTGAGAATAGTCTTGTTCTTAAATTGCCTATGAAACGAGTTACAAATCAGGTCCTCCTTGCTGATGGTAACATTTATAGTCCATCTGATGTCTCGGCACAATTAATGAAGCTTGTTTACTCTGGGTGTATACATCTAAGCAAATGAAATGAAGTATCAGACTGCTATAGAAACTAAGCAATGTATTAGGAAATAGGTAAATTTCATCACAAACAAAGAAAAGAGTACTGAACTGTTACATAATATCAGTCCATTTTTTTTTAAATGTGTCAAAAGTCCACTTTTGACACATTTAATCATTTACAATAATGTAGTTGTAGTAATAGGTGTTGTGATGAAAGAAATGACTTGTCCTGGAGATCGAAACAAGCACGGATGTGTCTTGTGTGCAAAGTGCTGTAAAGAAAATATGGCTGCTCTTGGGGCTGCAATTTATGAGTGCTTGTCTTGTCTCTACAAGGTAGGATTTGCACATATGCAAATTCTTGCCTGCTTGAGGAGACATAAAAGGTGAGATACTGAGAGTGATGGGGCATTTGCTAGTCCGATGAGCAGATTGACAGGAAAAAGAAGGTGAAGGAGACGTGACTGACTTTGTCAACTGAACTGTTACATAATATCAGTCCTCCTATATGGCAGCGAATGCTGGGCAATCTCCTCACAGATGAAGAAGAGACTTGAGACAACAGAAATGTGGTTCTGCAGAAGGATGCTGAGAATAGTAGGGACTGAAAATGTGAGTAATGGCAAAATTTTAGGGAAAATGGAAACAAAAAAGACAATTATACTTAGTATCAGAAAAAGGCAGTTGAAATTTCTAGGGCACCTAATGAAGAAAGAATGTTTAGAAAATTTGACACTCACAGGACATACTGAAGGCAAGAAGGACAGAGGAAAGCAGTGCCTAACATATCTAACAAGCTTGTGTAAATGGTTGGCAGAACATGGATTAGGAACAATAGCAAAAAGACAAACTTCACTAAGTTTGTATTTTTGATAACAAAATTTAAAAAAGGCCTAGGAAATGTGGAGAGCTGTGATTGCCCATTGTCTGAAAGGATTTGGCACACAGAAGAAGATACAAATAAGCTGATGTGCCTGTTTTTTATTTACACAAAATTATATACATATTTTTTTTTTTTTAAGCATTTCACCCCAAGCAAGATGGGAGTGCCACTAGTATGCAAAGGGTTTCAGAGAGTGAAAGTGAGAGAAAAGACTGGGTCTAGAGGGGGATTGAGGAAAGATTAAAAAGAAGAATGGGGATCAAGGCATCAGAAGATGTTGATTAACATTATATTTAAATTTTTGAAGGTTATATTTTTCAGGGAAGCAAGGAAGAGGAAGGGAGTTCCACTGTTGGGAAGTGCGAGAGAAGAAGCTGTTGGAGTAGAAGAGGCGGTTACATTTAACTGTTTCAATAGTAAAAGGGTGTGACCGAGATGCCAACCTAGTAGCACAATTCATACAGTCGAGGCACTAGTGAAAATAACTCATCAGAGCAGTTAGCATGAAAATATTTGTAGAAAAGACAGAGGGAAGCCACATCACATCTGTAAGAAAGTGACTGAAATCGAGATGCCAAGTCAGGATCAATTACATTGCAGATTCATCTCTGGATTTTGTTGAGAAACTCCAAATGAACAATGTGGATACCAGACCATATATGGCAACAGTATTCAATGCATAGGTGTGAAGGATGGACTAAGACTAGAAAAGCCTTCTGGTGTGACACAGAGAACCAACTTTTCTTGCTGTAGATGAAGCTATGGATTTGATGGAGTTGTTCCATCTCAGGTCAGTGGACAGCATGAGACCAACCAGGTGAAGTGAGATGCTTAAGTAATGCTGTGTATCTCTGCTAGTATAAAATATTTTTAACTATTCTGTTTTTTTTTTTGTTTTTTTTTTAAACAAAATTGGCAGGGAATTTCAATTACATTCAGTATACAAGTAGGTGTTGTGGTCGGGCCACAAGCTTTTCAGCACCCCCTCATACAGTGCAAGTCAGGAACATATATCCAATTGCCACATGCATACAAACTGGGTGAAGCAACTCTAAAGACTGACTACTTTCTAATACCTATTTGATGAACAATTGTGGAAGTGTAGCTTTGTTTGAGATATTAACAATAGTATCTCTGTTTTATTAATCAAATATTCCTAATCTCCTGCAAGTATCTTGATGGGAAATTCTTGTCTTATATTTTACAACTGTTTGACAGACAATGTTTTCTTTCTTTTCCAGAGGCCACAATCAACGCCTTGAGTTTCTGGGTGATACTGTGCTGCAACTTGTTGCCTCAGAGTATTTATTCCGACATTTTCCAGATCATCATGAAGGCCATTTATCTGTAAGCATTTTTCTAATTTTTTAATGCCAGGCAATTTGGATAATTACAAATATTTTTTAAATATTTTTTCTATGACTTATTTTCCTGCAAATAAGTTCACCCAAAAACATTTATTCTCAAGTAATGTCTTCATTTCATCACTTGTGATCATCAACTGACCCTGTCAGATATATAGTACAAGGGTCATTCAATAAATAAGGTGAATTTTTCGGTATAAGGACTTCTAAGACAGATAGAAGCTTACATTTTTTTTATTTTTCAACGTAGTCTCCCAGCACTGTCAAACACTTTTCCCATCTGTGCACAAGTTTCCGTATTCCCTCAGCGTAAAAATCTTTGGACAGATGTTTCAGCCAGTCGCTCACAACACTTTTGACTTCATCATCATTTTTAAATTTCGTGCCTCTTGTGAATGCTTTCAAGGGACCAAACAGGTGAAAGTCTGAAGGGGCAAGGTCTGGGCTGTAAGCGGGGTGAGGGAGCAGTTCCCAGCCCAGCTCGTTGATGGTCTGCACTGTTTGGGCTGCTGTGTGAGGCCTTGCGTTGTCATGATGCAAGATGACTCCTTCTGACTGATGACCCCTGCGTTCTTTATGTCTTTCTTGACCTGCCTCAGCAGTTCACAGTAGTTCTTCTGTCAGACTGAATGAGGTCATTGACTGATTCGATCACCTCAAGAGACCTCACTTCTGTAGTCCTCCCGGGCCTGTCTTCATCCTCAACACTGCTCCATCCTTCTTTAAACAATTTAGCCCACTTGTAGACATTTTCTTGGCTGAAACATGTGGCACCATACACAGTTGACATTCTCCTATGAATTTCAACTGGTTTTCACCCTTCAGCAACCAAAAATTTGATAACTGACCGCTGTTCAATCCTGGAGCATGCTTCTTGGTCGGCCATCCTTGTTAATCGCCAAAACTCTCAAAATTTTTATTTTAATCTGCAAAGTAAATTAAATCCATGTGAAAAAGAAGTAAAACAAAAAAAATTAAAATAAGTAAGCTTCTATCTGTATTAGAAGTCCTTATTCTGAAAAATTCACCTTATTTATTGAATGGTCCTCATATATTTTAGAAATATGATATATTTCCAATAACCTGTGTGGCTGTTTATTAAGTGTTTTTTATATACTTAATGCTTTAACTTAAATTATTCTTTATTCTACGTGCACAATGTTGCAGTAATCAAATTATTTTTGATGGATAGTATGATATATATATATATATATATATATATATATATATATATATATATATGATTAACCATCTTCACTAGGAGAAAGGTTTCATTGTAGTACTAGCACAATGCATCTGGTCTGTATTGGCTACTTTTATTACCCCAGTAGGGAAATATTGCTGACTACTTGTCAGTAATGGAGAGTGTCACTACCAAATGAAGTGAAAAATTCTTGCTCAAGAATTTTTGAGTAGGAAATATTTTTTTATACCAGGAAATCTTATATTCTAACTAATTGCTGATTCGTCAGTTCATGGGCCAATGGAAAGGCACTGCTACATTCTGCTTCTTTTCCTTTTTCTTGCTGTCAACTTATCCCGTCAAATATACCCTACTTTAGAAATATGACATATTTCCAATCACCTGTATGGCTATTTATTAGTTAGATGCATTTTTTCTTCTTAATTCTTTATCTTAAATTATTCTCCTTTATTTTACATGTACAGTTACATATTAGCCTACTATGATTACCAAGGATAGCATTTCTGAAAAATTTTTGTAATTGGTATTTGATAAACAAAAAAGAAATGGACGTTAATTCTGTTACTATTTCAATGCTACATCCCCATCATTCATGATTTTAAACACTTACATTGGTTTCTACTTTTTCAGCTTCTCAGGAGCTCTTTGGTAAACAACCGAACACAGGCCATCGTATGTGATGATCTTGGCATGTCAAATTATGTCATCTATGCCGATACTCGGGGAGATCACCTGGAAATGAAACCAAAAGAAAAGGCAGACTTACTGGAAGGTAAATATAAAATTCCAACACCCTGAATGTGCATTTTATTTAACTCAAGTTTAAGATGCCAGTAAATTTACAGTAAATCATATATACATGTCTGTACATGCACAGGTTCCAAAATAATGTATTCTGACCCCCATGTTAATACAATGTATATCCATCTAGAGCAGCGATTCCCCAAATTTTTTTCCTCTGGGCTGTATTTTCAGAATAAAAATTTTCTCACACATCACCAAATTTTGTGATAAAAGTACATTTAAAAATAGAAAAAAAGAGGTTTAAAAGGAGTTAACTGTTGATTTGAAATCAGAACATTATCATTGATAACTCTCTCCTCCACTTTGTGGACTATATTCTTAATATTTGATATAATGCAAAGATATCACAATGATAAAATCAGTCAATAATTATTTATAACTTTTTATACGGGGAGTGATGTATGCAATTACAAGTAATCCATAATATTTTAAATTTTGAAATCATAATTATTTTTGACATATGAATTTTTTAAAACTGTTTCTAAATTTTTGATTGTCTTTCAATCATTCCGCCTCACCTGCTATCCTCTTCTGCCATGCCATTTGGGAACCACTGATCTAGGGTGTTAACACAGGCCTATATTCTAACAGGCACATACACAATTTCTTTTCTTATAAGAAACTTAGTATAGTGATCAGTATTCAAGTTGCTTAAATATTTTATGCTTAGTTTTACTAATTAGAAAAGACATCTCAACATAACTAGTAGAATTCTTGAATACATTATAAAATAATGTATTTAGTAACTCTTTTTTTTTAATTCTACATTTTAGTTACTTCAACCACACTGGCATCAATAGTGGAGTTGCTTAATATTTAGTTAAATAAATTACTTGCTTCTAAAAAAATTTCTAATGGTGTAGATGGCAAATATCATCTTATGATACATAATTCTATGTTGTTTGTACCTCTTGACACAATGCAGCAAGAGTTGTAGGTGGGCTAACTGAATGAGTCAGGTGTTGTTCCATCATGTCTCATACATGTTCAGTAGAGGATACGTTTGGCAGTGATATCAGCCAAAGATGTTGTCAAACATCCTTCCAGGCATATTGAGTAACATGGGCATTACCTTGCTGGAAGAACTCATTGATTTCCTCTTCCAGGAATGGCAGTAGAATAATTTGAATTTTCGGCAATCTTGGAACTTCATGTCCGCATAAAAACAGAGTATCAAAAGAATGGGTTTTTTCCTTGACACTGCTATTATTTTCATTACCTACACTCCTCCGCAATGTTGTTTTAAAAGTGACAATTAGAATTGTAATAAAATTTAAACCTATGAAAGTGAATTTATAAATTTTCTTCGTTTTTGAGAATTGACAACAAAAGTAATAAACAGTATTTATTTACACTATTATATAATTTGTTGGAATGGTTGGCGAAACATTGGTTAATTGGTAATCAATTTGAACTTGCTAAAATGGTAAATAAGGATTTTCTTATGGAATAATGGATAGTGGCTTGGATTGAGAAATTGGAGAGCTGAGTTCGAATTCCAGTTGAATCCATTACATTCACTTATGTGACAATACCATCGGGAAAGGTATGAATCCTCTTCTTCTCCCCCCAGCTATGGGTAAATAGCAAGACAGACTGGGTTCTATATCCCTGGGTGTCACCTGATCTACAGCAGAAAAAAATCTGCCTCGTCAGTCAAGTATCAAAAGATACATGATTGCCTAAGTGTGTATCACGCATGGCACATAACTGACTGACTATAGTTAGTTCATATATTTTGATAATTTAGTAAATGTTTATAAATTTATTAATAAAAGAATTGTTTACATATTTATTTCTTTAGAAATTGCTAAATGATAAATATTGCATTGTATTAATTTTAATTGTATTAATTTTAATTGAATCTTTTATGTTCCAGCTTTTATTGGGGCTTTGTATGTTGACAAAGCCCTTGACTACTGCCGGGTATTTTGCAATGTTTGCTTCTTTCCTCGCCTCAGGGTAAGTTTTCTTTTTAACCTTTACTCTAATGGAGTATAGTGTGTGTGTGTGTGTGTGTGTGTGTGTGTGTGTGACCCTTGTAATCCCTTAGAGGCACTGCATTTATGGCAGTCATAGCAACAGTGGTGTATCTAGGGCAAGAAACCCGATGTGGCCCAATCTTCTTCAGGTTGGTTTTGAATTCAGAGTTTCCCTTCTTCTGGATTGGTTACTGCCTCCAGGTGAGAAGGCCCAATTTGCCCTGCTTTTTAACCCATAGGTTGAGGAAGATGGATTCGTGCCTTTCCCAAATGTTAATAGTGTGAAGTGGATTCGGCACTTCTCATTTATTTTCTTTACCGATATCCGTTATAGAGATCACGTGGAACCCTGAGAGAAAATAATGACATAATCAAGAAGTCGGTGTTCCACCCTACTGCGAACAAAAGGCTAAGAAGAAAAAAGTACTCCAGTCATTGATCCTTTGAGTTGATCTGATATTCAAATCTTAATCTAAAATAAATACAGCATGAAATGAAATTTAGCAGCATTCATGACAGTAATAAGCTTAAGGTTGACTTTCTATTGTTGCGGGAACTTCCTGACTTCTTCTACCATTGGTTTACAGCCAAATCACACTGAAAGACCGATTCTCATACGATCATCGAAGTTAAGTAACATTGAGTGTAGTCAGTACCTAGATGGGTGACCACTTGGGAATATCAGCTTCTGTAAGTTTTATAAGCTTGGATGTGCAGTTGGTGTAATGGATAATGGCTTGGAATTGTTAATCAGAGGACTGAGTTTCAATTCCTGTTGAAATTATATTTATTTACCTGCAAATACGCTTGGGAAAGTTATGAATCCACCACTTCCCCCAGCTATGGGTTAATTAGTAAGACTTATCACTAAATGATTACTATCTAAAAAAAAAAAATTATTACAATCTAAAACTATTTTCTAACTTTAAATAACTAACAAGGTGTTAATAAGCCACGGAAAACGAATTGATCAATCAGTTCTGCCCTGTTTCATCTTTACAAGAGACATATTGAACCAAAAATATTGTACCCATATCTGGGCTGAAGTTGCTCATTCTGTACTTTCCATTCATGATATGTTTCAAAATTGTTTACAGATGTCTTGTAGGGCTGGCTTATTCTCCCTGTTCTGGGTAATGATGATAAACTACATCTGTGTCCTGGGTAAGACGATAAATTACTTCTGGCAACAAGGTTTCTGATCAGGAGGTTTTGAGGAGCATGGGGCTACCTCTTAATTGCTGGTGTTCCCATGTCCACCTTGAGCTGAGAGGGGTAGCACTTGTTAGGGTCCCAGCTATGGGTAAATTGTTAACCTCCAACTGGGGTCAAAACACTATGAAAGGGTAAAAATAGGTTTTAATATCAGCAATTAATTTTTGAAGAAAAAATTATTACTAGCAATACATAATTACCAGCAATTCATTTCTGGAAAAAAAATATTAGCAGCAATACATTTTGGAAAAAAAAATATTAGCAATGATAAAAATTTTGTCTGCATTAAATAACCCATTGAGGTTGATATGCCGTAAACAAACCAAACCAAATTTATTCTCCACACTGTAGCCTCTTTCCCCACAGACACAATGTTGCAAAATAATAGCTACTTCTCTGGCAAATGTTTGGACTAGCCTCATTCTTTAGTTCCACCAGTTCAGACTTTTGCAGCCAAGACATGCCATGCTAATTCCATAGAGTCAAATCACTCCCATTTCATCCATATTCCATTTGTAAGAAGAAAGTTCTATATGGACAGTTTTTTCTTCAAGAACTGCTACTTTGTGAAACAAACTCTTGTATAGATGCTTCTCCAAATGTTAAAATCTTAAGATTGTCAGGTCAAGGGTCAGTTGTTATTTATCCAACTTATCCTCATAATCTTCAGTTCTGACCAACTCTTTTTTTCTTCATTCATATCACATCTGATTCATCATAACCATTTTAGCAATAATACTCTGCCCTTGTATTTAGGTGAACTTCAGGATATATATATATATATATATATATATATATATATATATATATATATATATATATATATATAAACACTTCATCTGAATCACAATAATTGAGTAATATAAATAAGATAAATAAGACAGTATAACATATATGAAGTATTATAAAAAAACATAACATTGACTTGTTTTTAGTTTAAAATTGTATCCATTGTTTTCAGTAAACTGCACAAATTCTGACTGGTTCAATATTTTATTATTGGCATAATTTGTTTAATTATTTTTAATTGTACATACATTCAATTCTTTCTCTTCCAGCATATCAGTTTTTACTATAAAGTTTAAACCAGTGCTACTCAAAGTGGTGGTCTGTGGACCAATACTGGTACGCATACAATCAGCTACTGGTAAGCGGCCAGTGTCCAGGTCATGTTAGGGAATCATTTGTAAAGTTTAAAATTATATAATTTTGATTTTTGTTTTAATAAACTGCTTATTTTTTATATGTTCTGATATTGAAGATAAAAAATAGTCAACTTTTATTATATATATATATTGTTTCTGGTATCAATTAATGTTACCACGAAATATTTCGGGTATGTGACACATTGAGAAAAAAAATTGTCGGTCCGCCATATCAGGTATTTTGAGAAGCACTAGTCTAAACTGTTGTAAATTGTAAACTGTTGTTTTATCCTTGAAAGAAATATGTTAAAATTTGTTAACTTTGTTTTTCCAATTGTAATGTCAGTTTCTGAATTTAATGTGATTGTTCAAAATTTTAATTTTAAAACACTTTTGCATTGTGATTAAAATGTATGCCTTTTTTCTTTTTTTTTTTTTTATTTAATAAATCTGTGAATAAAAACCAAAAAAAAAAAAACAGGATTTCATTTTGAACCAAGACTGGAATGATCCTAAATCCCAGCTCCAACAATGCTGCTTGACTCTACGAGAATTGGATGGAGGAGAACCTGACATTCCTATTTACAAGTATGTCTTACATATATAAGTTTAAAATTTCAGTGAACCCCACTCCCCATTTCATGCACCTGTGTAGTTATATCAAAGGAAACCTCGTTTTAGTCTAATGAAATTCTAAAGTACAAAATGTGTCACATGAAAAACATTTTATGCTTTGTCATTAATTTTCTTAAGAAATAAATATGTATATATTTACATTAAGAGGCTTATTGAAATGTAAACACACTCACATATATATATATAATGAGCAAAATGTTTGTTATTGGTAAAGTTTAACATATGTTCCTGCAAAAACTTGTTTTATTTGCTTGACACCGCTTATTACTGTAGACTCCCTCAGCAATTTTTATTGTTTTATGAAGTTATTTTTATAGTTTTAATAAAATCCAGATATATGAAACTGGATTTTATGCATTTTCTCTCTTTTTTTTTCTTTTTTTAAATTGACTATAAAATAATTAAACATCATTTATTTTATTAGATTGTTTATTTACAAGTTTGTGTATAAATAAGACACAGAATCCACAAAGTTGGATGAATTTGACAGTGGAAAATTTCCATTTTATAAAAATATATGAACCAACTAGAATACAATATTTCTCATTGACTATATTACAAAGAAATAACTATGAAAACAATTTTTTTTTTATTCATGCATTTACAAAAATGTCCGAGAACAAGAAAAGTTAAATAAACATAACTATGAATGAGTGTAATTTTAGATTTCGAAAAAATGCATTTTTCCAAGTCATTTTTTTTTTCATTTGTTCTTGCCGCATAAATTTACGAAAATAGTTTATGAGAATATGGATTGATGCCTTTTTTTTCCTCAAGAATTGACAACAAACATGTTAACACAGTTTATTTATTAGACTGTTTAATTAAAGAATACTTTTTCTGTTTGAATTTTTGGCATGAGGAGTTATCATTATTTGCACTATTTACATTTGGACTGTTGTCCCCATCTTTGTTGTTGTTATCACAACATTTTGGCCATTGTGCTGTCTAATCTTTATCAGTTGTTTATCAATCCCGGTAACCTACAGGGAATTCTGAACTGAACCTGCGGCTGGACTGTTCTCGTTCCACTAGGGATATCTTGCCTAGTTCTTATTTTTAGTATTGCTCACCCTGTTTCCACTGTCCAAGTACACACTACCCAGCCTAGGGATTGAACTCATAGTTACTATGTCACCAAATCCATGAACCAACTCTTTAATCCATGTAGAACAATTCTTTTTGGAGAACTTGGAGCTTTAAACCTAACCTATCTTCTGTTGTGTTGAATTTGCTGGGAATTCCCTGTAGTTTACCTGGATCAATATATATCTGATGAAGGCCATATTGTACAGTGGTTGAAACATTGTGATAAAAACAACAAAGATTTACACTATTTACATTGTTTGGACTGTTGTCCTCACCTTTACTGTCACATTCACGATGTTTCGGCTGTTGTATGCCCCAGCCTTCTTCAGGTGATATTTGTTAGAATTTTAAACTGAACACTGTATTTAGTCCACAGGGGTAGATTTTCTCTTTCCACATACAATGCTTTTGGATATCTCCGTTTTAGTTAATTCGCATTGATAACTCTATTGGTTGTTTGATCAAAAAAGTGACTTGACCTAATGAGTTGTGAGTTCAATCCCTGGCCTCAGCAAAGAGAACAAAAACTTGGAGACTTATCAAGGTGAATTAACTAAAACTGAGATTCGAAAGACATGTGGAATTAGAACAATTAGATCAAATACATTGTAGATTCTTCGTTGGATTTTATCAAGAATCTCTAAATATATATCAGGAGCACCAGACCAGATGTGGTAGCAATATTTAAAGAAATTTGCTGCAATAAACACATTTAGTTGACTTTTTTCTGACTTGTTTTGCAAACTAAAACCTTCTAATGATCATAAAAATGTTGGCAAACATGGATTTGTGTGCCTGCAATAAGACATAGTTTTAAAAGGACAGCTTTTCTCATTACACCATTTTGTTTTAATTACCTTCACTCTTTGGCAATGTTGATTGTTTTAAAAAGTGATAATTAGAATTTTAATAAATCCCATGTAGAATTTAGCTGGACAAACTGCCAGTACTTGACTGTATTGCAAGTTGAGTCTGCTCTGACAACAGTCTATATCTTGGCCAGTTGGTGAGTGGTTTATATAACAGGCTGGAATGTTTCATTATGCTACTTGAGCCAACATATTCTCTAGTTTCTGATTGGCTGTTGACTTTGGTGTGGGTACTAGCTCAGATAGACAGTTGTAACAGCAGACTCAACTTGCAATACAGTCGAGTACTGGTCTGTTTGTCCAACTAAATCCTACATGATGCTATGAACAGGGTTGGGCAGCAAATACATTGAGGAGAGCCTGCAACATGGCCACTGGGTTACAGGAAATGGCATCAGAGCTTCTGTGCTACTTCCTGGGGGCAGTGCTGGATAGTGAATTCATATCTCAGAGTTTAGACTGCTTTGCATGCTTCAGTATGGGGTCTGTATTAAGTTACAGCCTGCTTTCTTTTGTCTGCCAACTGGATGCTAGTTTGGAACTTTCTTGCAAAGGTGAGTATCATTTTGATTCTACAGCCCAAACATATAAAAATGAATTTATACACTTTCTTTATTCTTGAGAATTGATAACAAAAATAATAAACCCTATTTATTTACACTATGTCAGGACACATGGCACAGTGGATAAAGGCATTAGTGAGATCCAGTGACAGGACCCAAAGAGTGAGTTCTATACCTGGTTAAGGCAGTGGAGAACTTTGAGAGGGGAATTAACAGGAGATAACTGATAACTGACATCCATTAAACATGGCACGTGGAACTAGAACAGTCTATCCCAGTGAGCGAAATAAAGGGTTCAGTTCGACATTCCAAGCACCTGAAGAAGGCTGGAGTGTACAACAGCCAAAACATTGTAATAAATATGGTGACAAAGATGAGGACAATAGTCCGAATAATGTAAATAGTCTACATAATACCTCATCTCAAAAATATAGACAGACCGTATTTATTTATTAGATTGTTTATTTACACTATTTATCTTACTTATTATAAAACGCAGATTGTGTGTGTGTGTGTGTGTCTGTAACATTTATATATTGGATCGGATTTCCTACATTTTTCAACTGATTTCAACAAAACTTCACAGGACTACATAAAATTACCTTGCGGTGGTTCTAACAGCACCAAAAATGGGAAAAATATAATTGTTTTTGCACAAAATCAATTTGAAAACACGATTAAGAGACATCGTGAAAATGGAAGGGGGACAACTCATATCGGGTTGTTTGTGTGTGTGGGTTCATTTAAATATGGGGCGGTTTCCTATATTTTCAGCCGATAAAAAGTTCACTTTTTTTTTTTTTTTAACAGGTAGTGTTTCTTATTCTCTTGCACACTTTTTTCTTTATTTTTAACATTCAGAATGATTTAAAAATTCCATTTACAAGACGATTATTTATAATAAAATTCTATTCAATTGGGAGACTCATAACGTTTGAAAACAATGTTTTTGTTTGAGTTTGGGTTTGACCAATTCGTAAAAAATAAAAAAAAAAAACTAATTAAGACATGCGTGTCCGTCAACCTTAAACAATAATCTTTGTCAATTTTATTTTTCAGTCTTTATGATGGTGGATACTTGATCTATCTCTTACTGTTATATCCCCAGGCAACGCCGGGCTCTACTGCTAGTATTATTTATTTGAATGGTTGGCAAATATTGCCAATTGATTCAAACTTTATAAAATGGTAATTAATAAGAATTTCCTTACAGTTGATTCATATATTTTAACCCTAGAACACTAACCATCAATTAAAGTTACACCACTACTAACCATGGGTATATGAGACCCGATTTTGAAAATATCAAAAAAATATTAAATATAAATCTTTATTTGAAATATTTTACATGCAGGCACTTCAAACTTTGTACTTTGAGTTAACATTAATAGGAACTGAAAAACATATTATTTAGGTAAGAAAATCAGGTACTGAAAATTGTAATTAAAAATAGGAAAATTTGCACTGGGTAATATATACCTATGGTTAGTGTTCTAGGGTTAATGATTTACTAAATGTTTATAAATTTATGAATAAAAAAAGTCATATGATTAAGTTTTATTCCAATTCTAACTTTTTAAAACAATAAACAAAGAGTGAAGGAAGTGCCATTCGATTTTATTGTAGGCACGTAAGTCAATGTTTGCCAAAATCTTCTATTAGGTACTAGCAGTAGAGCCTGGGGATGTAACAGTAAGAGATAGATCAAGTATCGACCATCATAAAGACTGAAAAATAAAATTGACAAAGATTATTGTTTAAGGTTGACGGACACGCATGTCTTAATTAGTTTTTTTTTTTTTTTTTACAAATTGGTCGAACCCAAACTTTCAATCATTATAAGTCTACCAATTGAATAGAATTTTATTATAAACAATTGTCTTGTAAATGGAATTTTTAAAGCATTCTGAATGTGAAAATAAAGAAAAAAGTGTGCAATACAATAAGAAACACTACCTGCCAAAAAAAAAGTGAAGTTGTGTTGAAATCGGTTGAAAAATGTAGGAAATCCGATCCCATATATAAACAAACACACACACACACACACACACAACCTGGGTTTTATAATAAGTATAACTCGATATGAGTTGTCCCCCTTTCATTCTTGCGATAGCGATGCCTCTTAATCGTGTTTTCAAATTGATTTTGTGCAAAAACAATCGTGTTTTTCCAATTTTTGGCACTGTCAGAAGCACTGCAAGGTAATTTTACATAGTCCTGTGAAGTTTTGTTGAAATCGGTTGAAAATGTTGGAAATCCGATCCAATATATAAACGAATAGACACACACACACACAACCTGGGTTTTATAATAAGTATGATTTAGTCAGTCTTTGAAAATTTTATGTTACTCAATGACATTGCTTCTATTTTTAGAGTGATAGAATCCTCAGGTCCAACCAACACAAGGAAATACACAGTAGCCGTTTACTTCCGAGGGGAACGTCTGGCCACAGGAATTGGTCACAGCATCCAGCAAGCAGAGATGGCAGCAGCTACAAATGCCCTCAACCAAAGATCAGGTGAGATGTCCTTGTTTTTTTTTTTGTTTTTTTTTTTTGAGCTAGTATATCTGCAACCATTTAATGCAGGAATATAAAGTCAAGTTGAATATTGGTAAATATCTGTGTTGAGTTTGCGTTTTATTGGTAGGGATCTGCTAATTTAAAGAGATACACTACATTTGGGATGACAGCTGGGAATCAAATCAGAAGCCTGAGTTCAATTCCAACTGAATCTGTTACACTCATTTAATTACTAAGACCTTAGAAAAGTCATCTATTTTTTATTACAAGTTTCTTTTATTTTTTTTTTCTGCTGATTATTCACCCAATACAAGAGCCACACAAGGTAGAGCATTACTATGTAAGTAGAGCAAGAGGTAAAAAGTGCAGATTATGAAGATATGTAACAAAGATAGACGTGACCATAGACTTGATAAGGTTAAAATTGTTGTGATCCAGGAAGCATCCTTGTGGGAGTCTGTTCCAAAAAGTAGTAGTTCTTGTGTAGAAGCTATCTGAAGAAGATTTCATCTTACTAACAGAATAAGAAGAGAATGGGGATGATTCATCTGCATGTACATGACATGGTAGGTTCTAGCTGTGAAGGTCTGAACTGGCAAACAGGGCTGGCTCAAGGTACTGGCAACTTGGGCAGTTGCCCAGAGTGCCATCATGTCATGTCTTTGGGATCTTCCAAAACTAAAGCTTATAAAAACATACTTGCAGTCGTCCATGACTCAAGATAGATTAAATTCTTTGGCTATTTTGTCGATACAAAAAATGATCTTGTAAAGAAGATAGGTGTAGAAAGGGCCATGAAAAGATTTGTGGATCTAAAGCCTAGAAAAAAATGTTTTACATAGAATAATGAATGTTTTCTTTATCTTATATTAAGTTGTATATTTTAATAAACTTCTTATTTTACATTTTCAGTTTTTCTCCGTGTGAAAATTTAAAAAAAATTATACTTGTAAGAGTGCCAAAGTTCAGGTTGCCTGGTGTGCCAGAAACCCTACGGCCATCACTGCTGGTGAAACTAAGGAGTATAGCTTGTCAGAACATTTTCCATGGAAATAATAAGAGAGTAGTGAGATGCACTCATTTTGATCTTTGTCACTTCAGGTCAAGGGTCAACCATTATATATCCTACATATCCTCCTAATTTGCACTTACTACCTCCTCCTCTTAGTTTCATACAACAACCTCTTTCCCTAAGTGGATTATGGGCCTTGTCTTGGGTGAACATTTAGTAAAAAAAAAAAAAAATCTTCCTTTAATATTTACTCATTTTAAGTCAAATATAATTTTTCCCCTCCAGAGATAAGGTCTTACCACTAAATAAAGAGCTACTTACCAAGTAAATGCTTATTTTAATGATACTATTAGCCGTTTCCCTACAAGGAAATGTTTAGCATTCATTGACCCAGCAGCCAGTACTGCTTTCAGTTGAAATTTATAAAATCTTTTCTCTTACAACACTTTTTTAGGAAAAAAGATTTCTCAAATCCAGTAGCTTTTATTGCTCTTTCTAGTATTCATGAAGGTTTCATGGCATGGAATGTTAACATCTTGATTATGTCATTATTTTCTCTTTGAGTTACATGTGCTATCCATGTTAGTTGTTTCCACTATTGGTAGTCCTCAAGTGATATGTTGTCCTGGGTATGACGATAAACTACGTCCGCATCCTGGGTATAACGATAAACTACCTCCAACTGCAAAGCCTCTGATCAGGAGGTTTTGAATAGCGTGGAACCACCTCCTAATTGCTGGTGTTCCCAGGTCCATCCTGACCCGGAGTGGTAGAACCTGTTAGGGTCCCAGCTATAGGCAAATAGGTAACACCCAAAACTTGTGTAAAAATAGGTTTTAATACCAGAAATACTTTGCAATAAAAAAAATTATTACCAGCAATAATTTTTGAAGGAAAAATTATTATCAGCAATAATTAACATTTACAGTGAAACATATACTGTTAGAATGTGTAGATTTTGATCTAGTGAGAACAAAATATTACCGAGAAATTAAAAAAAAAAAACTTTACGAAAATAAAACCATCCAAGATTGTAAATTTCTTAAAGAAGTTGGATCATACTCAAAAATATAAGTAATTGAAAAATGATTTAAATATACATAGACACCTTTTTTTTTTTACCAAACTATGGCTATGAATCTATTTTAAAATTTTGTTGGCATTAAATGACCCACTAAGGTTGATATGCCATAAAACAAACCAACCAACGATCAAGTGATGTGGTTAATGTTATTTGGTATAGTTCTTTGTTTGTGATTCTATACCACTAATCCACAATGTTCAAAGAAGGATGATCTTTGCCAAGACCATCAGGCTTTATGTGTTCAAAGCCTTTTTCTGCCAGTGTTGAGTCGTAAATAATTTCCATTTCTCTTTATCAGCTTTATTTGCCAAAACATGAAGTGCAATTACACTTTATTAAATTTTATTTTCTTTGATTCACTGTTATTTGCAGTGAATTATTGTCACTTATCAAGCAGCTCTTTGATGCCTTTTGAGTAAAATTCTGCAGGTTTTGTTGCAAAAGAGTCTGTGACAAACTCTTGAATCTGGTTTTCATTAGAGAAAGATTTTCCTCATTAAAGCTTTCGATAGCGATTGAAAAAGGTAACTCATGGTTAGTGCAAAGTCAGGTGACTATGGCGAATTCCAGAATATTTTCCTGTGTTACTTTTGCTGTATGTGGCCTTGTTTTAACAAGTTCAAGAACATTTTTCCTTTAATCCACTGTGTACGCTGCCACTGCATACTAGGGTATAATATACTAAGGTATGTTAGTGTACTCCAAATTTATTCTTAACTACCATGTATGGTTAGTAGTTAGTATAACACTTTCGTCATTGCGATTGGTTCTCCAAAACAGACTCAAATGGACAGTCTCATGGCCATATAGTGTTGAAACATTACTTTCTGTATGATCAGTGAAGTTAAGCAATGTCGAGCCTGATCAGTATCTAGATGAGTGACCACTTGGGAATCCAGGTGCTGTAAACTTGGATGTGCAGGTGTTGTAATGGATAACGGTTTGGAATTATTAATCAGAGAGATGAGTTCCAATTCCAGTTGGGTTCGTTATATTGCCATAGAAATAATAAGAGAGTAGTGAGAGGCGAACATTTTGATCTTTGTCTCTTCAGGTCAAGGGTCAACCATTATCTATCCTACATATCCTCCTAATTTACACTTACTACCTCCTCCTCTTAGTTTCATACAACAACCTCCTTCCCTAAATGGATTATGAGCCTTGTCTTGGGTGAACATTTAGTAAAAAGAAAAAACATCTTCCTTTGGTTTGGAATTATTAATCAGAGAGATGAGTTCCAATTCCAGTTGGGTTCGTTATATTCACTTACATGCAAATAATCTTGGGAAAGGCATGAATCCACATATTCCTCCAGCTATGTCTTAATTAGTGATACTTGCATCACTAAAGCGTTATTATCTAAAAAAATTCTTACAATTTAAAAAATGTTTTTCTGGATTTAAATAACCTGGAAAGGATTGATAAACTGTAGAAAATAAACCAATAAATGACTAGTGTTTACCTATCCTGAACCAAGTAAATGATCAATGCTAAATGCCTTTACAAGATCCCCATTCAGTAACCCTCTACCTTGAGCGGCACTTAGGCCTTGTATTGGGTGAGCAGTAGTAAAAAAAAAAAAATAATCTCCAAACCAAGTAAATGCTTATAGACTCAAATGTAAATGAGTAATATATGTCCGTCTCTATTCAAAAGGCTGATTTCCACTAAGTAACCCATCCAGGGTTGATATGTCATAAAATTTACCAACCCAACCTACCTATGATATCATGTTTCACATAAAAGTGCATGATAGCTTTAGTAACATTTGTATTCAATTCTTAACCTCTGAAAATCTGGTTTCTAATTTTCAATTGACAGCTGTCAAATTGAATGCCAAAAAGAAATTTCAAATAAAAAAAAATATTGAAAAATTTAATGTTTGATCATTAATTTTTCCCTAACTTTCTTCCAGAAAATATCTGTTTTTGTAAAAAAAAAAAAAAAAAAAAGTATAAAATGGTGGATGAGTGAAAAAGGCAGTGGTCGGCTCTTTAATGTGCAAAAAATACTGATTGACCTTGTAAAAGATTGAGAGCCTGTACTTGCTGATGCCATTTGCAATGAGGGAAGTGTCTCTGTTATGAAACTGTCTGATTCTGCCTGCCACATATAGCAATAAAGTTTAAGAGAATAATCCAGATTTACCGCTTAGAGGATTTACAGATGTCCATTCAAACTGGTGTATTAGCCAGAGTTTTTGATGAGCCAATTGAGCAGAGAGAGAGGAACAGTGAAGTTTTTTTTCTTCTGTCATTTCATCTCAAGCAAGGCAATAGAGCCACTGTGATGCTGAGGGTTACTAAGAATCTGATAAATAACATTAAGGAGATAGACGACAATTAACATTTAAATCGACAATGATCCTTGAAAATTTAAATAAAGAAACGTTAGAAAGTTAACAGAACTCAGGAAACTCTGCAAATTGTTTTTGATCTGGGAAAACCTTTGTGTACAACTGAGATCCCCTCTTTTGCACATGTAGCTGTGATTTCACTTACTGTGAAACCACAAAAAAGCAAAATTCTGCCCTTGGTATCTTCTTTATGTGCCATGTCCCTTCATGGCTCTCCACCACTTCCTGTCCCTTGTAGATAAATTTTCTTCTAAATAAATTTTGTCTTTTCGTTATTTCTCCTAAAACCTCTTCTGCCATCCATTTACTCAAACTTATCAAGTATGTTATGTGCTGCTTTTCTCTGTCCCTCTTGCCCTCAATCTGTCCTGTGAGTATCAGATTTTCCAAGCCCTCCTTCCTCATGTGCACCAGAAATTTCAACTGTCTCTTCCTGATGTTAAGTATGTTTTCTTTTTTTTTTTTTTAAAACATTGTTGTTGCTCACATGTTTGGTCCATGATATCCTCAGCATCCTTCTGTAGAACCACATTTCTGTTGCTTCAAGTCTCTTCATCTTTGAGGAGATTGTCCAGCATTCACTGCCTTATAGGAGGTGAGATATCATGTAATAGTATAGTACTCTTTTCTTTTTCTGTTTCTGAATACTCTGCTTAAATTTCGGAATGCATCTTTGGCTATTCCAAAGTTTCTTTCTCTGTTAGAACACTTCCCAGATATTTTTGTACATGTTTGATTTTGGCATCCCTGATTTGTAATTTACCTTTTGGGCTAGTCCTTTTGCTAACAACGATGCATTCTGTCTTTTTTGCTGTTTATGTTTAAACCTTTCTTTTCGCTTTCCTTCAATACCTTCTCTAGGAGCTTCTGTAGATTTCTTTCCGTGTCTGCTATCAAAACTGTGTCATCTGTATATCTTATGTTGTTAAGATTGGGGCTGCCAATAATGAATCCTGGTAAGACATCTAATTCTCTCAGAATTACCTCGCTGTATAGGTTGAATAAGTCTGGTGAGAAGACACATCCTTGTCTTTTACATCCCCTTTCGATTTTTGGATATCTACCGGACCAATTTTCTATCTGTATGCGGGTGGTTTGCTCCCAGTAGGCCCTTGGTCTACCAGGTTCAAATGCAGTCACTGCCAAAACATGTTCTTATGATTTCGGCATTTTGGCACAACATTTTTTTTACAAATGCAAGTGGTGCTTATTGGGTACATCATGCTTATTAGTTTTTGAAATAATTTTTACCATGGCATAGTGGGTGTGTGGATGGTGTAATAAAGGCTCTGAGTGAGAAATCGGAGAGTCAAGTTCAAATCCCATTTGAATTTTTTACATTCACTTATGTGTAAATACCCTTGGGAATGGTATGAATCATGAATCCCCTTCTTCTCTTTCTCCCCCAGCTATGGGTTAATAAGTGGCACTTGTATCTCAAAAAATTATTGTTATTCTCTAAAAAGAAAAAAATGTTCACCTACAAAAAACATTCCTACAATTAAAAAAAATAATATCAGTTTATGGTCACATTCTGTAGAAACACTGGTTACTGTATGATCACTGAAGTTAAGCAATGTCAAGTCTGGTCAGTACCTAGATGGTTGTCTGCTTGGGTTTGTGGGTGGTGTAATGGATGGTGGCATGGAATTGTTAATTGAGGCACTGATTTCCAATTCCAGTTGGGTTCATTATATTCACTTATGTGCAAATATCATTAGGAATGTTATAAATCCACCTCTTTGTGCCCCAGCTATGGGTTAATAAGTAAAACTTCTCTCACTAAACCATTATTATCTCCAAAAATAAAATAATAGAATAAAATTGTGTGCAAAATATTTAGATTTTGGCATTAATTAACCCATATAGGTGTTGATATGCTGCTAAACAAAAACAACGACCAAAACAAACATTTACAACATGCCAAACCACATGCACAGTGAATCACATTTTAACAATGTACTCACTTAGCCGTTGTAAGACAAATACTACAAGGAAAAGAACATAAGAAAACGATTTGAAAATACTGAAACCGTCAACATAATGTTGTACCTTAAAGAGAGAGGTTTATAATAAAATATAACACCTACAATAGATCATCTACAAACTATATATCTATAAAACACGTTTACCTGGAAAGTATCAAATGATGTACAAAATATCTGTAATTGAAGGTGTAAAATTGTGTTTAAAATATTTAGATTGAATAACCCATAGAAGTGTTGATATACCGCTAAACTAAAACAACCAACCAAATAAAACCAAATTCTGACGATTTTTTTTTTGTTTTTTTTAATTTTTTTTTTTTTCCAGAGCTGTTTCCCATTTTGGCTCACCAAAAGAGATTTTTGGAACGGAGGCATCCAAAGAAACGTCGACGTGGATCAAGAAGGCCTGATGAACACCATTAACAAAATTTTTATATTGAATGTGTGTGTGTGTGTATATATATATATATATATATATATATATATATATATATATATATATATATATATGGTATGGTAAAAAGTAATGTCCCTTTTATTTATTAACTTTTATTGAACAAAAATACAATAGTTTAAGAAAGCTTATAAGCGTTGTCATATCAAAACAACATGGTTTATGATTAAGAAACTATTTACCCTGTTCAAAATGCTCCCCTTCATGTTCAATACAATGCTGAACCCTATCAGTAACACTTCTACAAACCATTTCTTCATTAATTTCAGAAAATTTATCAGAAATTGCTTGTTTTAATTCAGGAATTGTTTTTGGTTTCAGCCTGTACTCAAGATCTTTCAGTACACCCCACAAGAAAATGTCTGGTGGTGTTAGATCTGGTGATCATGATGGCCATTCAATTACTCCACATCGTCCTATCCATCTCAGCTTGAAAAAAAAAAAGTTTGATATTTTTGCTGCACCCTGTGTGTGTGTGTGTGTAATAATATATATATATATATATATATATATATATATATATATATATATATATATATATATATGTGTGTGTGTGTGTTTTTTTGAACAGCCTGACAAGGCAAAAAGTTAACTAGCTGCTGAGTTGCTAAAATTATTTTAAATTAATCTTTCATACTATACAAAACCATCCAATAATTATCAAAGTGTTTTACAAATATAATGTCACTGATTAAAAAAGAAAACATAAATAAGAATATTTATAATTAATTTGTTTTGTTCGTTCAATGAAATTTTTTGATTGCTGCCAACAAAAAAAAGAAAACTGACATAAGAATTTTTCATTACGAGATTCCTTGGCGCGCTTCAGAATTGATTAAAGCAGAATTATCTCCCTTAGATCACAACGCGTGTCTGAGAATGGAAATGCGTCTACCATGCAGACGTTGAAGAGACGTTGTCTTGGGATCTGAGATTAACAGTTTTCAAGATTCTGCGCATATTTTTTTTAGATTCTCTTTTAACATATATCTTCATTATTATTTCTTTTATTGCAATGCTTCCAGCTGATATATCCTTTAATTTTTTTTTTTTTTTTAAATTTTAAGCAAAGCAGCTTATGCTGTGATTTGAACTCCCATAGCATACAAAAAAAAAAAAAAAAAAGTAAAAGAAGCTTACTATGTCCTGTAACAGGATCAACCACTATCTTGGTCTTCAAATTCACTAAAAGCAGAAAATAATGTTTTTTTTATTCCTAACTCTGTTCCTGTTGAATTGTTTACTTATTCCATACAACTTTGTTCTCTGTGTTGGTATTTCTTGAAATTGAATTCTTTACAAAACTTTAGCCTTACACAAGGCCAAAGAGATGAGGTATCTATTCAGGATTAAACTTGCTATTGTAGTAATGGTTTGTTAGACTAGATTGTTTCCCATTGCTCCATGGCAAGGCAACTCATTATTGCTAAACTTGGCTTAGTCTGACCATATTGGTTGAGTGTTGAATTATGTATATTTATTAATGTTAGTCTGGCACAAGGCTAGATACGAGGAATATTGTGTTGTAGCAATTTTCCAAGTCTGCCCATTTTAAAAATAATTCAAAATTCTAATTTTTACTAGAGTTTGAATGAATTATTCACTGCTATTTGTCAGAAATATTCAACTATCTCAGCAGTTAAATTTGTCAGATGTCCTGAGATGAAGTTGGTTATTTTTTTTTTATAATTTTTTATCTTTTTTTAAAAACTAGTGCTACATGATGTAACAAGTTCCTGTAGTATGGAATAGGAGTTTGAGTTCTACTTTGTCCTAACTGTCAACCCTTTAAATTTGAGTGTCCAAAGATATGTGGACTAAAAACAATGACAAATTTTATTGCAGATCAGAATGAAAGTTCATACCAGTTCACATTCAGCTGACTTTCACCAGCACTCTTTATTGCTTTAGGAAGAGGGCTAAAATTTGGGCCCCAAACCTCATGACAATACTGGACTGAAACTCTTATATTTCTTCTGTTAAAATGTTCTTATATTACAGGTACACAGTCTCTTCTCTAAAATTCATAAAACTGAAAAACTCCAAAAATTGCACATTAAATATATAATTTTTTTTTCTCATGTTATTTACAAATAAACTGTATTATTATTTATTGGCTTAATTTATTCCACTTGCTGTAAATATTTTTAAGGTTCACTTCAGAGACATTTTGCTAACAATCCTTGTTAACATTCCTTAATAATTGACTTAATTGTTTACGATTCCATTCTGAAATGTCTGTTCTTCAGGATTCCATCAAATGAGATTGTTTGCATGTATTTGAAAGAGGACATATTCAGAAATATTTCATGGAAAATAATTATCTTTCAGCATCTCTTCTCCCCTCCAGCTATGGGATAAAGAACAGTTTGTATCTGGAAAAATCATTATCTCCCAAAAATTGTTAATGCAATATTCACTTACAAAAAAAAAAATAAATAAATAAAAAGAATTATTCATACAATTCTTAGAAAAAAAAGTTTTGGCTTTAAATAACCAACAAAATTTTCTCTGCATTGTTTATAGTTTTTTTTTTTTTTTTTTTTTTTTTTAAACGTAAATGAACAATGTCTAGGAAAAACAACAGAAAGACAAAATTTATTATGAGCTGCAAGGAACGGGAAGTTGTGGAGAGCCATGATTGCCTACATCCTCAGGAACATGACACATGAAGAAGAAGGAGAAGTCAGTTTTCAGAATTGTCTCGTAAGCTTTTAAAACTTTTTAAGCAACAGCACATCTAGGAGAATGGTCTGGAGCCCCTTCTGTTTGTCTCAAGGTTTTTGATAAAATCCAGAGACGGATATGCAGTGTAATTGGCCCTGATCTGGCATCTCGTCTGCAGTCACTCTCTCACAGACGTGTTGTCGCCTCCCTATGTCTTTTGTACAAATACTTTCATGGTAACTGCTCCGAGGAGCTGCTTTCGCTGGTTCCCAGACTTCATGAATTTAAGCGTTCTACTAGGCTGGTCTTGCTCACACCCTTTCACTGTCGAAACTATTAAATGTAGCCGTCTCTTCTACTCCAATAGCTTCATGCCTCACACTTCTCGCCTGTGGAACTCCCTCCCCTTTTCCTGTTTCCCTGATAGCTATAATCTCCAACTATTCAAATGTCATCTCAGTCGACGTCTCCAGATGCCCTGATCTATCCCCTAACCTTCTCTTTATTCTTTCCTCTATCACTCCTATTTGCTCTAGCTCCAACTCTCTGTAACCCCTTGCGTGCTAGTGGCTTCCCACCTTGCTTGGGGTGAAACGCTTAAAAAAAAAAAATTAAAAATTAAAATATTATGTCATACTTAGCAAATTTTTTAAGGATATACATTTGAATGTTATGAAAGAAAACCACAGATTTAAAAAAATTATTTAAAAAAGAAAAACATATGCAAATAAGAAATTACTTTATTTCAATATTTGTGCAGCTTATTTAGTAAAATACTAACACTGTAGCATTACTACTTCGACAATACAGGATGCAATAGGTATATTGTCGCGATTTTATATTTTTACTTTTGTGTATTCTTTGTTTTTGATTTTGATTTTGTCAACTACACAGTATAGTAGGGTCAGTTGAGAAAAAAAAGACCATGACACAATTCTCTCCGCCAGAAATTTGGAAATGGCATGCTCTACTGCTTGGCATTCATGCCAGAAGCTCCAGTACAATGTGTGCAGAGAATTCAGAAAGAGTTGGATGATATATCCAGTCAACATCATGGTGTTTGGAGTGATCACTAGTGATGGCGACATTATTCTTCAGACTCAACATGTAGTTCTACATTGTCCCTTTAGGAGGATTAAGTGGATGGCTGCTAGAAGGCCCTATGTCTGACAACAGGACTCTGCACCATGCAACACAAGCAGGAGAACCCAGTCATGGCTGTTAGACAATTTATACAACTTTACCTCCCCTTACATCTGACCATCTAACTCCCCAGACTGCAACCCCTTTGTGTGGGGTGCAGTTAAGTGAGAGATCAACAAAACTCCTTGTAAGACCAAAGATGAACTGAAGGCAATGATTATGACAGCATTCACTAACTTAAAGAAGGAGACCATCCAGAAGAGATGCAGGAGGTTCTGAAGTTGAAGCCAATGGTGATTTTATTGAATAAATTTACTCTTTAGTATTTCAAGATATTTTTGTGTAATTTTGGTATTTGTTAAAATGAGATGTCCGTGTTATTTTCATTTTTGCGTAATTTAGATGACAATTTATCCATCGCACTACAGTCATCTAAATAGTGGTTGAGAGTCACTTTTTTAGATGCAACTACAAGCCAAAAATATCTTAAAATAAAACTAGAAAAATTATAAGATTTCTTTTTTGGACAGCTTAATTTACTTGGCTTCTTTGACCAGAATAGTTAAAAACTATGTCCATGGAAGATGAGCTCCCAAAGCTGGGGATATAAGTTCAAGTCTTGTTGGATGCTATATATTAGATTTTACAGTGTTTATATTGACCCTGATTATGGAGAAAAATTAGCAATATAATAATAATAATAATGATAAATTTTTTTTGTTATTGTTGGAAAATATTTAGCAAAATTTAACTTAGAGCCAGGCAAACAAAGTGACATGTCAAAAAATGTTTTTCTTGTAATATTTCTATTACCAAATACCCCCTTACTAATTTTATTGTATTAGAAAAGAAATTTTAGAATTTTAATAGAACCCTAATATGAAACTAAATAGTATACCTATTTCTCCTTTTGGAAAATAAAAAATGTGAAGTAATATAGTTAATTAGTTAACATTAATTAGTAGTTACAGTTAATTACAGCAAGAAAAATGTGATGTTACTTGAGCTTTTTTATCTACAAGGAAAAATATCTACACTGTAAAAATTTTATTTTGAAATGATATCTACACATTAACACTATATATATATATATATATATATATATATATATATATATATATATATATTATTGAAATTTTTTAATAGCATAATTACATTT